TTATCCACACAGAGCCTAATAATAATCCTCCAAAACCAAAAACAATAATAATTGGTCATTTTCAATCTACGACTGTTTGTGGGACATTGCTGTGCGCAATTGGCTGCCGCGTTCGCCCACAAATATACAGTCAATTCACTTTACTGTGTGTTCTGTGAAGCGCTTTGGGACGTCCTCCCGACGTGAAAAGCGCTACATCAAATGCAAGGATTATTATTATTATTATTATTATATGCCCTTCACCGCTGTGCGTGGTGTCAGGGGGCAGCGTGAGTTATGGATGTCAGACTGGACTGCTCTCTGGTGCTCATTGTGAGGCCACCCGAGCCGAGGTGACTGTACAGGTCACTAACAGAAACAGTGGAGTCAACACACAACCAGTCGAGCCAGAGGGGGAGAGAGAGAGAGAGAGAGAGAGAGCTATCAACTGAGCCCAGTGAACCTTCCACTAAACTTTAGCCGACGACCGGCTAGAAATACTATCACTTCACATGGAATCCCCTCCCCCCACCCGCAGGGTGACCAGACTGGTACAATTCATTGTTTGCAGCAATTTATATCCCCCAGGCCCACTAGTCAGGGCTCAGGGGCCCATGAGCTGCACGTTCTCTCTCAGCAGCCACAGCAGAGTGTACGACAGAGACACACACACCCACACCGGGAACTGCAGCCGTTCAACACCACCAGCGGCTCCGCTCAAACCTCTAGTTTGGACACTCATGGGCTCAGTGATGGGTTTCCTGGGGATGTTAAACTGAGGCCTCGCCTGACTGACTGCCACCCTGACATTGCTAACCTGGTCACAGCACTGCTTATAGGCTCACAGCACTGCTTGTAGGGTCACACCACTGATTATAGGGACACACCACTGTCAGGCGGGATCCAGTTTTGGTTTGCCCCCCCCACCCCCCCGCTTACCGAAAGACTTATTGACGGGGAGAGACACCCTCACAATGGCGATGGGCATCCTAACCACCTCCGACTCTGCAAACACAGGCCCATGTTCCTGCTGAAGCACGCAGATTCCTCCAACCGTCTGCTCCGGGCACTGTGGGAAGAGAAGAGACAATTTTCTTTTTGGTCAGCCGGGTGCCTGACACATGCAGAAACCCATCACCGTTGTTTAAGAGTCTCCAAACCAAACTGAGAATTCCCTGCATCAACAACAACAACAACAACAAGATTCCATTTATAGAGCGCCTTTCACGTCGGGAGGAGCCCAATGGCGCTGGACGGTAGGGATTGGACTACTAGGGGGGATGGATCAGGGAGGGGAAGGGAAGGGAGGGAGCGAGGAGGGGTAGAGAGTCGAGAGGGAGCTGAAGGCTCGGTCAAAGAGAAAGGTCTTGAGACCGGCCTTGAAGGTGGAAAGGGAGGAAGCGGTGAAGGCACTGGGGGATGGAGTTCCAGAGCCTCGGGGCTGAGAGGCTGAAGGCCACCGATGGTCGGGCGGTTGGGGCGGGGAATGTGGAGCAGACCAGAGCCAGAGGAACGGAGGGTACGGTCAGGTAGATAGGGGGATAGTAGGTCGGAGAGGTAGGAGGGAGCAAGGCCATGAATGGCCTTGTAGGTGAGGATGAGGATGTTGAATTCAATCCTTTGGCGGATGGGGAGCCAGTGGAGGTGAGCGAGGGTGGGAGTGATGTGGTCACGAAGCCTGGTGCGGGATCCCACCTATACATGGAAATCCCAGAGATAGATTATTGGAATGGAATGCACAGTCGTTACCTGGTTACCTGGTTCCGGAGAATATCAGGCGCAGGTTGGCAAGAGCCAAGAGATGGGCGGAGGAAACAAAAGTGGTCGCATCCACCTGGGAAGATTCCAGCCACAGGTTACAGCTGTGAAGCAGCTCCAGACACTGATGATATGCCCTTCACCGCTGTGCGTGGTGTCAGGGGGCAGCGTGAGTTATGGATGTCCGACTGGACTGCTCTCTGGTGCTCATTGTGAGGCCACCCGAGCCGAGGTGACTGTACAGGTCACTAACAGAAACAGTGGAGTCAACACACAACCAGTCGAGCCAGAGGGGAGAGAGAGAGAGAGAGAGAGAGAGAGAGAGAGAGCTATCAACTGAGCCCAGTGAACCTTCCACTAAACTTTAGCCGACGACCGGCTAGAAATACTATCACCACATGGAATCCCCTCCCCCTCCCCCCACCCGCAGGGTGACCAGACTGGTACAATCCATTGTTTGCAGCAATTTATATCCCCCAGGCCCACTAGTCAGGGCTCAGGAGCCCATGAGCTGCACGTTCTCTCTCAGCAGCCACAGCAGAGTGTACGACGGAGACACACACACCCACACCGGGAACTGCAGGCGTTCAACCCCACCAGCGGCTCCGCTCAAACCTCTAGTTTGGACACTCATGGGCTCAGTGATGGGTTTCCTGGGGATGTTAAACTGAGGCCTCGCCTGACTGACTGCCACCCTGACATTGCTAACCTGGTCACAGCACTGTTTATAGGCTCACAGCACTGCTTGTGGGCTCACAGCACTGCTTGTGGGCTGATACCACTGTATTCAGGGTCACACCACCTTTTGTAGGGTCACAGCACTATTTATAGGGTCACACCACTGTCAGTTTTGGTTTGCCCCCCCCACCCCCCGCTTACCGAAAGACTTATTGACGGGGAGAGACACCCTCACAATGGCGATGGGCGTGTGCCGTGTACTGCACTGACAGCCGTGTCTCACTAACTTGTACCTTGACGTGGAGGCGAGCGAGATCCTCCTCTGGATCCTTCAGGCAGTTTTCCAAGTGCAGGTCTCAAGTCTGAGCAATGGTGTGCGGCCCTGACTCCTGAACAATGTCCTGCCAGAAATCCACAAAGCATCGATCGTCACTGAGATTCATTCATACCAGCGCTGAGATTCACAAACTGACGCGATACAGCACCTATAAAATGCCCAAACGTCCCAAACGCTTACACGGGCAACCGCTGTCAAGTGCAGTGACTGTGTAGTTGAAGGCAACAATAATAATTCGGTCACTCAATCCACGACCGTGTGTGGCGGACGCTGCTGTGCGCAATTGGCGGCCGCCTCGCGCCCACCAATATACAGTCAATTCACTTCACAGTCTATTCTGCGAAGCGCGTTGAGACGCCTCGAAGACGCGGTACACCAAATGCGCGGACTATCAGCATTATATTTGGAGAAGAACGCAACAGAACAGTTTCCCCCCCACTCCCCCCCGCCCTCGAGAGTCTCGCAAGTGGCTCCGATTGTATCCCGGGGTTTTCGGCCCCGGGACGCGATGCGGTTTAATCTAATAACAAGTCACTGTGTCAAGACCTCAAAGGCCCTATTATTCCATTTACCATCACAAGGAAATCACAATGAAATGTAATGTAATGGACAAAAGACTGAGTGGGCGGGGCGGAGGGGTTGATCGACACCCCGAGCAGCCAATCAAAGCAGGGGGGGCTCGGTGATCAATGACGTCACTGCCAGCCAATCAGCGGCGGGGAAGCGGGCGGGACCTGAGGGAGGGGGGGTCCGGCAATTGCTGGATACCTCGACCCCCTCCCCGCCCCTGCGCGCGCGGGGCCGCCGCAACCGAACCACGAAAGCTTTCCGCGCGGTGCACCGCAATCTCCTGATGAAGCGGCCGCAGCGTCGTCACCGCCCGCCCGCCCCTCCGGCGGCGGCGGCGGCGAGAGGCCGGGAACCGCGCGGGGAAGCGGCCGTCCGTCCGTCCATCCGCGCGCCCGACCGCCGACGGTTAAGTTTATCCCGAAAACGAAGCATCATCGGTCACAAATGGCGGCCTGGGATGGCGGACGGGACGCCCCGCTGCCCGCTCGGGCCGTCGGCGGGGATTATCACTGACCATGTGGGCGGATGTTCCCCGATTACAACCGGGACACTGTCCTCCTCCTCTCGCGCTCCCTCACGGACACTCGGCTTTGCGGAGCGGGAGACCTGGGCCACGACGCCTTGACGTCGTGCGTCAACGTAACGTGCTCCCCACGTGACCCCTCCCACACCCACCCTGTGCTGCATGATGGTTTGTGGTCAGTGTGTGTCTGACCCCTCCCCCACCTGCCCTGCCCTACACTGCCCTGTCCTTCCCTACCCCTACCCTGCCCTACCCTACCTTCCCCTACCCTCCCTACCCTGCCTGCCCTTCCCTGCCCTGCCGTGCCCTATACTGCGCTGCCCTACCCTACCCTCCCTACCCTACCCTCCCTACCCTGCCCTCCCTACCCTGCCCTACGCTACCCTGCCCTACCTTGCCCTTCCCTGCCCAGCCCTGCCCTGCCCTACCCTTCCCTGCCCTACCCTTCCCTGCCCTACCCTTCCCTTCCCTTCCCTGCCCTGCCCTGCCCTACCGCCCTGTTCTACCCTGCCCTGCTCTACCCTACCCTGCCCTCCTTCCCTGCCCTACCCTTCCCTGCCCTGCCCTACCCTGCCCTGCCCTGCCGCCCTGTTCTACCCTGCCCTACCCTGCCCAGCCCTTCCCTGCCCTACCCTACCCTCCCTGCCCTACCCTGCCTTGCCCTACCCTTCTCTTCCCTGCCCTGCCCTTCCCTGCCCTACCCTCCCTGTCTTACCCTTCCATGCCCTACCCAATTGGCTCCCACAAAATACAGTTTTCTATGAAACACTTTCAGACGACTCAAAGACATGATGAGCGCTATATCAAATTCAAGGATTATTACTAACTGAGAGTTCCGTGCATTCCACCGACATGTGGACATTCCCGTGACTGGAATGCAGTGCACACTTCTCTCTTCCCCCCATTCCCCCCCCCCCCCATGTGGAGGTATGTATCCTGCTTACCTAATTCCACTCAGTATTAGGCGCAGGTTGGCAGGGGCCAAAAGGCATGGGGACCCCAGAGTGTGTATTGGGGTAACTGCTGGATTTTAATGAGTCAAAACCGTATAGCTCACCATTGATAGCCAATCGACTAACAACCGGGTTCCTACTTCCTGCTAAGTAAATAGAGTCGTGTGGAGTAAGGAAAATTGCCCAACATTTTGCCCTATCGGGAATCAAACCCAGGTCTCTCACTCGAGTGGCGAGTGCACTAACCACTGAGCTACAGGACTGCAGAAATGTTACCCTATGTGAATTTTGCAGGAAAATGTGACAGCCAGTTTTGCCAGCAACAACACCACTATCCCACAAACATCCGTGAGGCGAAAAAACAATTTTATCTGGAGGATTGTTGGGCGGGACACAGAGAAAACCACCCCACTCTTTGCACATAGCACCGAGGGATCTTTAAGGTCCACCGGAACAGGCGGACAAGACTTTGGTTTATAACCCGATCCAAAGGACAACACCTCCACCAATGCAGAGGTCTCCCCAGCACTGCGTTGGAAGCGTCAGATATTTTTCTGACGTGACCTTGATTGGAACCTTGGTGAGGTTTAGCTGTGCTGTAACTGGCCACAGGAGGGGCCTATTAGGGTAAATCCTTGAGGATTATTTCCATCCATACTGTGCACCCACAACGCCGTCCTGTTGTTATACACCCTCCACTCTCCACGTGGAATAAAATGTCTCGGAGCGCGGCACAGAGATGGGGGGGGGGGGGGTCGGACCCCGAATAAAGGAATCAGTGAGATCGAATCCAACAACCGCAACTTATATTGCATCCTTCATGTGGGATAGTGTCTCGGAGCGCTTAACAGTGGCGGAGCCTGGCACCGAGCAAGGGGAGGGGGAGGTAACCATAAGCACGGTTGAAGAGGCAGAGGGTTGAGAGGGAGCAAGGCAGGGGGTGAGACAGAGGGGTGGGGGGGGCAAGGCAGAGAGGTGAAGGGGGGTGCGAGACAGAGGTGAGGGGGGCGAGACAGAAGGGTAGAAGGTGCAGAGGTTAGCGGTGAAATAGCTGAACGCTCAACTGCTGATGGGGCCATCGAGACTGAGGGAAACACAGCAGCCCTGAGGTAGCTGAGCATGTAGAGGAGGTGAATGTCAGAGGAAGGGAGGTTGGGCTTTGAGTAATTTAGTGTCAAATCCCATTCCAACAATCTGTCTCTGGAATTTCCATGTGTAGGTGGGATGTATGTGGAGTCCTGAACTGGAGTCCTGTAGCTCAGTGGTTAGAGCACTCGCTTTGCAAGTGAGAGACCTGAGTTCAATCCCAGGCAGAGGGCGAAACCTCGGGCAAGTTTCCTTACTCCACACAGAGCCTAATAATAATCCCTCCAAAACAAAAAACAATAATAAATTGGTCATTTTCAACCTACGACTGTTTGTGGGACATTGCTGTGCGCAATTGGCTGCCGCGTTCGCCCACAAATATACAGTCAATTCACTTTACAGTGTGTTCTGTGAAGCGCTTTGGGACGTCCTCCAGACGTGAAAAGCGCTATATCAAATGCAAGGATTATTATTATTATTATTATAAGTGTAGTGGTTCGAGCACTCGCATCACAAGCCCGGCTTGTTTCCTGGGCAGGGAGTAACTGGGTAGGCAGGGTTCCTGGGCAGGTAAGTTTCCTTGCTCCTCATGCCTCCGTTTACCTAGTAGTAAGTAAGAACCAGGTTGTTAGTCAATTGGATTGCATTGAGGGAGTCATGATCTCATCAAAAATAAATAAATAAAATGATAATAAATTGGCCACTCAATCCACGACTGTTTGTGTGTGTATGTGTGTGAGTGTTTGTGGGTGTGTATGTGTGAGAGTGTTTGTGGGTGTGTATGTGTGAGTGTTTGTGGGTGTGTATGTGTGAGTGTTTGTGGGTGTGTATGTGAGAATGGGTGTGTATGTGAGTGTGTGGGTGTGTATGTGAGTGTGTGGGTGTGTATGTGAGAGTGTGTGTGGGTGTGTGTGGGTGTGTGTGAGAGTGTGTGTGGGTGTGTATGTGAGTGTGTGGGTGTGTATGTGAGAGTGTGTGTGGGTGTGTGTGGGTGTGTGTGTGAGAGTGTGTGTGGGTGTGTATGTGAGTGTGGGTGTGTGTGAGAGTGTGTGTGGGTGTGTGGGTGTGTGTGTGAGAGTGTGTGGGTGTGTATGTGAGTGTGTGTGTGGGTGTGTGTGAGAGTGTGTGTGGGTGTGTATGTGAATGTGTGTGTGTGGGTGTGTGTGAGAGAGTGTGTGGGTGTGTATGAGAGTGTGTTTGTGGGTGTAACAATATTATCAATATCACATAACACAATAATATAATTATATTTAGGATTATAATAATTGTAGTGTATTACAATATCAGAATAGGTTTAAAAATTATTGCAACAATGCAATCAATTCACATTAATTCCCATTTTTATTTAATATCTGGAAAATTAGCATTATTGGGGGTGTTTTTTTTTTATTTTTACCTACAGCGGTAATTGGGAACCCGGTCGTCAGTCGATAGACCGATCGCTTTCCAGGACTAATAATCCCTCCAAAAAAATAATAATTTGGTCACTCAATCCATTTGGTCTCTCTCTAACCCCCCCCCCACCCCACTCTGTACAGACTCTCCCCCCCCCCACTCTCTGTACAGACTCTCCCCCCCCCCACTCTCTCTATGTATAGACTCTCCCCATCCCCCCCCCCCACACTCTCTCTGTACAGACCCCCCCACTCTCTGTAAAGGCTCTCCCCGCCCCCCCACCCACACTCTCTGTACAGACTCTTCCCCCCACCCCACTCTCACTGCACAGACTCCCCCCCCCCTCTCTGCACAGACTCCCCCCTCTCTGCACAGACCCCCCCCCTCTGTGCACAGACCCCCCCCTCTGTGCACAGACCCACCCCTCTGTGCACAGACCCCCCCCCTCTGTGCACAGACCCCCCCTCTGTGCACAGACCCACCCCTCTGTGCACAGACCCACCCCCTCTGTGCACAGACCCCCCCCTCTCTGCACAGACCCCCCCTCTGTGCACAGACCCCCCCCTCTGTGCACAGACCCCCCCCTCTGTGCACAGACCCGCCCCCTCTGTGCACAGACCCCCCCCCCTCTCTGCACAGACCCCCCCCCCCTCTCTGCACAGACCCCCCCCTCTGTGCACAGACCCCCCTCTCTGCACAGACCCCCCCCCTCTGTGCACAGACCCCCCCTCTGTGCACAGACCCCCCCTCTCTACACAGACCCCCCCCTCTCTGCACAGACCCCCCCCTCTGTGCACAGACCCCCCCCTCTCTACACAGACACCCCTCTCTGCACAGACCCCCCCTCTGTGCACAGACCCCCCCTCTCTGCACAGACCCCCCCCTCTCTGCACAGACCTCCCCCCCCCCCCCCAGATCGCGGTGCTGTTGGGGCTGAACGGACACTGAGAACCTGAGACACAGAGAGAGGAGAGAGGCGGTTATGAGCTGCAGTCTCTGTGACACAGGAATGCTCTGTGGGGGGTCTTCCTGCAGCTTCCCACTGAGTTGCATATCACAGGAGGCAGTCTGGAGAGGGGGGGGGGGAGAGGGAGGGGGGGAGAGGGGAGGGGGAGAGGAGGGGGGGGAATGGGTGGGAAGGGGGGAGAGGGGTGAGGGGGGGAGAGGGGTGAGGGGGGGGAGAGGGGAGAGGGGGGGGGAGAGGAAGAGGAGGAGGAGGGGGAGAGGGGAGAGGGGGAAAGGGAGAGGAGGGGGAGAGGGGAGTGGGGGAGAGGGGAGTGGGGGAGAGGGGAGGAGGGGGGAAGAGGGAGAGGAGGGGGGGGAGAGGAGGGAAGAGGGAGAGGAGGGGAGAGGGAGGGGGGAGGAGGGGAAGAGGGAGAGGAGGAGGAAGGGGGGAGAGGGGGGAGGGGAGGGGGGGAGAGGGAGAGAGGGAGAGGGAGGGGGAGGAGTGAGTGAGGGGGGGGGGGAGAGGGAGGGGGAATGGGTGGGAAGGGGGGGAATGGGTGGGAGGGAGGGAAGGGGGGGAGGGGGGAGGGAAGGAGAGGGAGGGGGAGAGGGTGGAGGGAGGGAAGGAGAGGGGGGAGAGGGGGAGGGAAGGAGAGGGAGGGGGAGGGAGGGAAGGAGAGGGGGTGGAGAGGGGGGGAGGGAAGGAG